CTTAGGAAAAAAGTTAGATACAGCAAAATTAAAACAGAAATATATTAGAATAAAAAAGCTTCCTGCATGGATTTGTAGTGTACTGAAGAAATGCACATGTGGCCAGCAGTCCCTTCATTAGCAGAAACACAGTCATTAAGTAGAAGAGAAGGAATAACTGCATTTGTCTGGCAACTCTCTTTGTTCATCATAAACAAAAGCAAGAAATCTCCAATTACCTCTCAAAGAGCAAAGAGGAGACACAGAAAACCGTATTAGCTCTGAACTGACTAGGCTGGGCACCTCAGTACTTCATGGGAGCTACTAAAGCAAGCTAGTACTATACTGAGGGACCCCCCAAAGTACAACCATGCATCTCCTATGGAGACAAGCAGTTTGGTAGGAACATCCTGAAGAAGAACTTAGTACAAACAGCAGGAAAAGCTGCTGTCATGAAGACAGGTAGAAGGTAGTAGTTTTTTAGGATACGAACACAGAAATAGCCAAGATTCCAGGCAACGTTTGCTTAAATGAAAGGCTAGTACTTTTCCCATTTTGTCTCTGCCAATCACTTGTCAAGCACCTCTCCCCAAAATGCAACTGAGGGTAAACATGGTTTGCCCACTCGTAATTTGAGTGCTGCCACAGTTACCCATTTATCATCACACAACCTGGACCACAAACCAGGTGTATCTCAAGCTTAGCCAGAGATAACTCTGCAAATGCTACAATAAGAACAGAGCAGTTCAACATCACACTCATGGGTACCAATTGCTTCTCCAACCTCCAGCTTCTACACAGAATTAGGCCCACAGCTAGGAAGGTCACTAACAAATTGAAAAGGCAAAAAACCAATACTATGGATTAGAATGGATGAAGGAAACGCTGCTTACCCTGAAGAAAGAAGATGAGAAAATAAGCAAAGTATAGAGATGAGTCCTGGAGAAGGTGACCTGAATTACAGCAGTTCATGGGGCGGTACCCTGGAAGGGTCACCCTCCAAGTACATAATTAGTGCCAGGCCTGAGAAAAAAAACACTGTTACTAAGTTAATGTAGCCAAGGGGAGAGGGGGGAGCTTGGGAATTGGGTGGACAGGGCACAGAGGGTACATTTTCTTTCTTAATATAGAAAGAGCAATGATGGAAGAAGCAGACTTTCCTCACCCACAGCCAAGTCCTGGTGAAAATCAAGAGAAGCCACTGTAGATATCAACTCAGATCATCACTGCTGCTTTGGTAGTGTGGTAAGGCCTGAACAGTGCAGAAAGCTTTCAAGGAAAAGATTTTTCTTTAAAAGGTGAAGAACAAAAGCTTTCCCCCCCCTTCTTTCCCCCTTCACCAAATAAAGTGCGAACATTCTATCCCAACACACTGAATTCTGGCCACCCCTTCTGTGTCTGAATGTGGCAAATTTATGCTAATCTACACAGAAGATTATTATTCCCATTATGCCGTATATCATCTGTAAAAAATAAAAAAAATACAGAATTAAAATAGATGAAAGATGAACAATAAAGGGACTAAGGTCTAAAATGTTAAGATTTACTCTAAAAATATTTTATTCTAAAACTACATATATAACAATATATTTGTAAACTTCGTTCTTCACTTTTAAAGCCATGTTATACTGAAGAGCATGAGTTAGGCAGTGCTGTCACATCAAAGTACACCTGGAAGGAAGCAGCAGATGCAGGAGGGGGGAGAAAGAAGTGTGTAGTCTGAAGAGTTCAGAAACTATCTCCACTGAAGAGGAAAGAAAGACAAGTTAGATGAAGGGGAAGGGGGAAAACATTAAAACACACCAACTGCGAAGAAAAGACTGAGAACAGACTTGGCTTGAAAACCAGAACACTAACAGCTGCCCTTACCACACCACACTTAATGATGACTTTCATAATTGCATTAGTAGTCCAAATGAGCACATCCACACATGATATATATGCACATATACATTTAAACAAAAGATGTTGAAGGATAAACCATGCTAATATATCCCAACTCCTTAAAGCAGAAGTTAATATTCTGTTTAAGAATACAAATTTGAGGTCAACAAACCCTTAAAATTACATCTTTAGAAGCTGCTACCACAAAAGTACTGAATGTTTGAGGACACAGAAGTCCCAGAGGAAAACTAGTTATATACAGTTAATTATAGTCTTGTAATTTAAACATGACTGTATTGAAAAAAAACAAACCACAAAACAGGAACAAAACAACAAAACCAGAAATCTTGCAGCTACTATGTCTGTGCTGTTCCTGAAAAGCTGGCAGCCTGTTATTCCTAACAAGTAACTTGAAGTGCCTGTATCTACAGAGCATCCTGCACCCAAACTGGGCTTAAGTTATCAAAGGCCTTACCACACATGCAGACAAGCACTATTTTCATTACTAACTCCGCAAAGGCTGCTTTCCCTTTCTACTTCCTTGCTCTGCCTTGAACTAACCTGAATTCTTCCAGCCTGATGGGCTGCCACACAGTTTCTCAACCTAAGGTAAACTCTTGAAATGGGAACTTACCATTAAGCTGAAAAACCAGATTCAAACAAGAAAACACATTCAATCCACAGAAAACAAAATACAGTGACAACCTACCACTTATACTGTAAGATCAGAGATTTGACAATCAGCTCAAGCAAGGAAGAGCATTACCACCATGACACAGCCTGATTAACTAAAATTACAGAAAAGCATATTAAAGGTTTGACCAACAGCTGGATGGATCCTTCTTCATCAAAAAGCAAAGCATTCTGAACTGAAGAAAGTGGATGCCTACACCTACGTATGTTTTAAATAAAGAAGGCCTCAATATTTCCTTTCAATCAGGAAATATGCTTATAGACATGTTTATCACACATTCTGAACAGATCCTATATCATTGCTTCTCCCAGAGAGAACAATCCAATTCTCCCTGCAGAAAGCAGAAATATGGGACCAGTATGTTTGATCACTTGAGCAATGAGCACTGTAATTATGCCTGCCCCTTCACGAAAGATCATCAAAGGGTGCAATGGGAGAAAAAAAGCAAGCCTCAGGGGCATAGTCTTTCTTCTGTGATCTTTCTTCAGTGGAATCCCTCCCACATCAAACTGGGAAGAAACTCTACCCTACTTTATAGAAACAGCAGTACCAAAGCCAAAGTCTGTTGCACTGGAAAGAAAATTAGCATCTAGCTAGAACTCAGCATCTAAGATTTGAAAATATGCAAGACAGAAAATTCCACTGTTCACGGAGGGGTCTGATATTCACACTGTGCTTCATTTTGCCCTGGGCCTTTAAGGGAAACTGCCAAAATATTGAATGCAATAACTGAAGTACATCTCTGAACTCCGAACAGTGAGGCTTTGACTAGCCTCTTTGTGTCCTATGCCAGCTCTCTGCAACCAGCCCTCCCACATGCATTGGCTAGTCAGTCATGACCTCGTGTTGTACTTCAGTCTGCATGAGCATCCTTTCTTTACTCAACAGCTCCCACTTCCTTCACTGCAGTTCTCTGAAGCAAAAGCTGTCTATTCCTCTGTACAACAGCCCCCATTTTTAATTACTATGCTTTGCATTGTCATAATCCATACATATTAATCTTAGAGCTTTATTCAAGTCCGTTCAAGCATTGCCCATCAACTGCATGTGGTTATTGTAACACACCAGGGCTACTGGATATAGAAAGAAATAAGATTTGTGTTAGTTTTTTTGTATACTTTCGCACAGTTAGTCACAGTATTTTCTTATTAAATTGCTTTGCCACTAGCTAATTTTCTGTACCAAAATTGTGCTCAAAATGTCAGCTGCTATGCTGCACAATACTACTATAGAGAACAAAAGTCTAGGGAAAAACAAAGTCCACTTTCTTCCAAATAATGGCTGATAACTGAAGCCAGTCCCCTCTCACTTTCTGGGCCTCCATTATGATCAAGTAATTAGGAAGTAGTTTTCCTAAAAGCTGCAGCTGTTTTGTCAACATAATCCCTTACCTGCAAACAAGCTCAGGAACTCATATTACCAATTTTCATGAGGTTTAAGAATGCAAAGGTCTACAGCAACAGTCCTAAGTGCCTGTGTTTCAAATACCAAGACTGACAAATTTTGAAATCTAGTTCTCAATTTCTAGTAAGTGCTGTAGAATACACACAACAGAGAAACTCTGAGGAGCAGAAAATGGACATCCTGCATGATGCAGACAGGCAGCAAGGAGACTGCCCACATCACAGAAAGTACTGTGCAGACTTGTGGCCAATAAATAGGAACGACCTAAGGCTACATGAACCTTGACCCCTCAAATCTCCAACTTCAAAAAGCACATAGCTTCTCACTTCATTTTACTACTCAGTAAACAAGAGAAATAGTTTCAACCAAGGTGTGTTAAAAGTTAAAACACAAATATGGTAGATCACATCTTTCATTCTGAAGCATTCAGCATTTGATTTCTTGACTCCACTTTTGTGCACCAAACACGTGCTGTTGTGATGTTAAACTGCTCCTTTTGCCCTCTGCAGTCAGGGACCTGGCTTAGTACCTTTCCAGCCACCTTGTGTATTCCTAGACTTTACACTGGCTCTAAACCTATCTCACTACTTGTCCCATATTAACTGAAGAGATCACTTTGTATTAGAGAAAAATCAGCTGGGGAAGAAAAGGTGTATTTAAACATGCATGCACTGGTGAATGCTATACTGTACTTTGTGCAAGACAATTTTTTTTATCTTAAAAAAGAAAAAGCGTTTGTACAGTTGGGGGAAAGGAGAAACTCCAAGACGCAGTTGTTTGTCCTGAATGAAAATATTTTTTTTTCAGTGATTCTCTTATTTCTTAGGAACACAGATTGCAGTAGAGAAGAAAAAACCTAAAATCATACAACATAACTCACAGACCTGCTAGACTTTAGAAACTGTCTAAGTATGTGGTACATTATTACAATATACATTAGGAGGATGATTATTCAAGCAAACTGTTTTGATCTTGGTGTTTTAAAAACTGAGTCCGAAAAAATGAACACAGCAGCTGATGACAAAATTTAAATACTTACTGCGTAGGAGCCTATGAGGAATGCAGCATTTGCTTGCTTTTTCTGATCAAAGCCAGTGTAATGAATTATTTTCTTCCTTATCAATGAAAATGACTGCATCAAGAAATGAACAAGATTATGATTTTGCATTTTAGACCTTTTATGCTTTCTTTTATAAAATTAGAGGAACGCAAGAGTTTGTTTTCCTACTTTCAGCCACCTGTATTCAGAGAACTGAGTATACTGCAGACTAGTCCCTCAGAGGCTTTGAGAAACTGTACGGTATCTCTACCAAGATTGTTCTAATTTTTTCCCAGTATTATGCCTAAATAATTTTTGATACAAATTACAGTAATCTTCTCTTTTTCCCCTTTAATGCATTTAGTATTTCTGACTTCAACCCTTACGTAATGGACAGCCATTTATGAGAAGCAAATAGAAAGTGGCATTCTCAAAAACATCACAGGCAGATTAAAGTTGCAATAGTTTTGAAAACAGAATTCAGATTTTTTTTTTATTCTTAAAGAAAACCTGACTTTAGATAAATCCACTAGTATTTGTTTGCAAGCATCAGAACCATGCCTAGATTAAAATATTTTGAAAGTATTTCTAAACTCTATCACAAGTAACTTTTTTAAATACTGGCTTGGCTTAGCATATACTTTCTCCAATTATCTTACAAAGCGGGTGGAATGGCATTTTCAATAGAAAGGACATGGACATCTGTGGTGGCAGTTATCCCCTAACTGGCTCTTGAAACAAATTCTGATGTGTTTGAAACTGCACGCTTTGATCAACTGCTAAGCTATCATGAAACGCCATTTTATGTATTTAAATACCAATGTTATTCACACAGATACTATTCAATACACTCAAAGACAAATAAACCCCTGATCACTAACAGAAATATGTTCTCAGCAATCCTAACATGCCTGTCCAATATCAAACCCAACATATTGAAAGGGTTTATAATACAGACTTGTGTTGCTTCAGAGCATCCCATAAACAAAAATCAGAGAATTACATCACTGGCAAACTTGTTTGTAGTGCCACAGGGACAAAGCAAGTCTGAATTATGCAAGCTATTACCAGTGACAGACATCAAGGAATAAAAAAAAATACACTCTTAAACTACAATGTTCTGTATGCTTCCCAATTTTCACAGTTCAGTGGCAGTTTAAAGAGCTAAGCAGTTTTGAAGAGGCAAACTGTGATTCACAGTAATTCAAATAAGCCTTTTTCATCTGTCTAACAGGTTTAATATTCCAACATCTGTTAGAGGTCAACTAACTTGAAGTCATTTATGTTAATTATTACAGGGAGTCTCTGTTTTAGAGACACTATACTCTATCAAGAGCCCAATCCTGAAAATTACTGAGCACCCCTACGAGAAAAGAATCTGCAGTGGCAACAAAGCAGTCTCCTTCAGGACAATGCCATCAATGCTATTGGCGAGCACGTGTTGCTTCTTACTAAAGACATGTCAGCATCAGAAGAGATGACCAAGTCAAATGAAAAATATTTCAAATAAAAATGTGTTGTATTGCATCCTCAAGCTCACTCAATGTTGGCAGATTGCCAAGAAGATTGAATTCCAGGAGGGGTGCTTTTCATTTAAAAGGGTTGGTACTCATTTAGCAATTATCTTTTAGAAGCTTAACATTAGTTACTGCCACAGTGGTGCATTTTCTGTTTCTTAAAAGTAAGAGAGCTTTCCTTCCTGATCCTCCTCCCTAAATTCACCTTGATAAAATCTAGCATTCATACTCAGAATTCAGCTGGATTAGGAACCCAGGAAAGCACCTGTACAAAAGAACAAAAAAACTTTTGGCCCATTTGTTTTCGTGCTTTAAAAAGTCAATAATAATATTGAATAAAAACCCCAAGCATTACCTTTAATTTCTTGTTCAGCTTGCAGCAGTACCTGTAGAGCATAGCCAGATTGAGTGGTCCAAAGTCTGCATAGAAGCTGGTAGAAGAAAGGGGAAAAATTGTACATGACCCCTATAATTCTTTTTTTCAATTAGATGCACAAAACAAGGAGTAATAATATACATGTGATATATGTACATCATGCTACAAACAAGCATGTGTTCTTACATACATACATACATACTATTTTGCTGCAGGAAACAGTTTTGTCATTTTCAAACATGGACTAGAACTTTTTTGTTGTCCACACACCACCATTCAAGAAACAAACTCAAGGTTTGAAGCACCTACTTCTCACTATTGTATCACTCCGTGACAAAAGTTTTGAAACTCTATTTTAAAAGCAACTCATAAGTTTTACTTTAAAAGAAGGAAATTGATAGTGCTAGAGAAAAGTGAACCAAAGAATAAAGACTAATCAGTACTTTCAAAAGCACTAAGCATGCCCTTGGTCAAAAACATTTAAAGAACTAGCAACATTCCACCTCATGTAAAAGGCAAACACTGTTCACTACAGAGAAAATAATATATCCATTGTAAGCTCATAAAGGCTTGAATTGATCTTTCCATTTTTTTAATCTTATTCTAGGAAGTTCAGACATTTCACTTAATACATCAGCATCCAAAGACATTCCCTTCAGTTTGGCAGTTCAATGTGCACTTCTGAATCTGTTTTTGCAACATGTTTGTGTCTCCTAACAGGAATGGGTACAATGAAAGCTTCTGCTTTGAAAACATTTTAAAGAAATCCTAATGGGAATGCAAGAAACCATTCTAAGGCATATAAATCATCATGGCAGATAAGTATGAGAAGACCAAACTCATGTAATTAATTCTATAAAGGGAATGGTCTGTTTCCCTCCGCTACATTTAGAAACAGAATGCCAATTAGACTGGTTGCTCACTGCTGTTGTACTGACTAATTTGTCTCTGTTAAAAAAAAAATAAACGGAAAAAATAAGTCTGTACTTACTTCTCATATACAAGTTCATCATCTATGCAGAAATAATGGGTGTTTGCAGCTCCACTCTTTGGTTTTTGGCAGAGAATTGCAAAATAGAGGCGATCTGAAATGCAAGAAAATTTGAAGTTTTTATAAACATCACACAAGCACTACCTGTCAACAGGACAACTTTAAATGGTTTAAAATGAAGGAAATCTTCTTTTGGGTACTACCAAGCTAGGTATTATTATTTCTCCCGTGTTAAACAAAGTCACAGAAAGACTGAGGCTTTCTGCTCAGCAGTGTTCCCATAATCCACAGCTCTTTAGCGTTCTTTCCCGAAGTGTTGCCAGGAAAGCTACTTATTTGATGATTTTGCAAAATAGCAGGAGCCTGACTTGCACCCACACACACGGCAGAGACCCACCTCCTTGTGGCAGGTGGTTGCACTCCAAATTCCAACACACACACCCCATACCCTCCAGGTAAACCACAAATCCCTCTGCACCTCTGAGCGCCTACAATAAACTGAATGAGATGCACTGACACCAAAACGCAGGCACTGCTTTCTGAGAAACCATGACTTTGACAGTAGTGGCATGCAATTAAAGCCTGCAGGTGACAGATGAAGGAGGGAAGCAAGCGGGCAGCCCCCTGCTGCCTGCGGGAGCAACAGCCAAGCCACCACCTGGATACCTCCATCCGCATCCCCACCCCAGCTGCCCCTTAAGCCTCCGTGCCTGCAGGCAATCTTGTGCTTGCCCTGCCTTCCTTTGTTAAGCTGAGGGTAAAAAACTGCCAGCAGTATTCACACAGATATAAATTACTTTTATGGCCAGGGAAGCTGTAGCCCCAGTGAACTTTAAACACTGACTGCGCTGCTGCTATAAATCGCTGTGCTTGTGGTAATTGGTCAATAAAAATTGA